ATACTATTATTTAAATCTTCAAACACAACACTGGGATTTCAGTCAAAAAACGTTTACTTTTCTCAATATTCAAACTTCATGTTTTTTTCCTCCATTGGTTGAATAAAGACTGATATTTGTTTATGACCTTTATGGTATAAGATATAGAATAACTCTAGATCATAGTAATACATACTATACATAGAAGTAGTGAAAAGAAATTATTAAAAACATGACTAGACAGTGACCACCTGAATTTTTTTTGAGTGAACATTCCATCATCAATTGGCTGCATTATTCTCCCTTCTTCACATTGATTTTTTTCCTTTATGACACACTGACCGATCATTCCCCTCCCCCGTCCTCCTCCTACTCCACATGCTTCTTTCCTCGACTCATCCATCAATGCTGAGAACCCACAATTATGCTAACACTAGTTTGTTATGACAGACCAAGAGTGTGCTGCATTAGCCACTTATTGACTAAATGGATAATCGTGCTTTTATCAAAAGGAGTGCACACAATCAGTCAACACCATCACAGCTCCACTCTGTCATTATTCTAACTGCTACTGTTCTCTCTGTCTCCTGCAACCTGTAATGACATGACATACATTTATATTTTTTTGATGTTATTATGTCTTTCTTAAAGAATCCCCATACTGTTTAAAAAATTTATTTTTAATTGGAATTAATGAGATGACATTTCCTTTTAAAAAAGAGTAATGTTGAATATGATTTTTGTTCTCGTGTCCTGAGATGATTGGAGTTATTTAACAATTGAGAGCAGGCAGAGGTGGTGCATTTGTAATTTAAATAAGGGAAATGTTAGCATACATGGGGCAGGAAAACAACAGTCAATATGTAGACAATATATAATTGCAAATTACCTATGCAGTATCACAACAAGATTTGTTAATCACTAAGTCCCTCTTGTAAATGGTGAACAGTGACAGCAACAGGACCAGATATCTTCATAATGGAGTGTAGATAATGTATTATCATATTATTTATAATATTTCTATATTGATGACTGTGTTTGTGTAATTAGGTGCTGGGCAGCTCAAGCTTCTTCTTCCTACAAGGAAGTTGGTCTTCCCATGCATGAAAATAAACAAAACTTTGCAAAAGTGCAGCTTGTGCTTTATATTTCTGTTTAAACCCAACCTGCGTCACAGCATTTCTCTGCATGTTGTGTTTGAGAAAGAAAGTGTGTGAGAGAAAAAGAGAAGGTTGAAGGTAAACTATTGCATGCAATGTTTCTTACTTGGAATGCTTCTTGGTCACTTGACCTGCCTACACAATATTCTCTAGTAAATTGACCCAAATCCACCCAACCCCCGTCCTGGTGATGTCATGCATCACTATCATCATTCGTCAAAGTATCCAGCAGCTGGTGCTTATGGAAAGCTCTCTTGCCACAAAAACACCTCTTCCAGGAAAGACTTTCTAAATATGTACAGTTATTGCCATCCCTAGAGCCTTCCCACTAGCATGGCTAAAAACTGTCAACTGTCCCAAGGCATGGCTGCTTCCAGACACTCTGCTGTTCCCAGGAGGTACCCACCCTGCCCCTGTCCCACCCTCTCCTCTGGGACCTAACAGCCCAGCTGACTGGACAAGAGGCTCTGAAAGGTCCCATGATCCCACTCTCAGCCCCACTCTCTCTGTCAAATATGTATCCCTCCAGACTGAAGACATCCAGATGGGGGTGGGGAAAGGGTTGTGTTAGTCTTAAACTGCAAATAGGCAGAAATGTCCAAGAAAGATGATTCTGGCAAAGAAACCAAGATGGTAGTAATGGCAGTAATGTAATACACAAGGTTAAAGGTCAGCTGTGGTGAGCTTTTCAAAGGTTTACAGTGTTAAAGCTAAGAGAAGACAGCCATCTAAAGTGAGCACTGTAGAAAGTAGCTGGCTCCTGCAGGAGATCAGTTCCGCCACTGGCTGTTTCTTTGTCTCTCTTTTCCTCTCTCTGTTTCTTCTGTCTCTGCCATAAGACCTCTGTGGTTTTGACAGGCAGCAGATATTAAGGGGTATGGCAGCATTTAATTCCCAGTTGAAAGTGTTGATGTGGGATGGAGGCAGAAATGGGGAGGAAACACTTCAACCATAGACTAACTCTGTGTATTTGAGTGTGTGTGTAGAAAAGTATGTTCAAAAGTATGGTACTTACAGGTTCTGAAAAGGATGTTAAGTCTTCACATTAGTTGTATTCTTGTATCTTAAGTTACTGGTAAATGGACCTGTACTTGTATAGCGCCTTTCTAGTCTTCCGACCACTCAAAGCGCTTTTACACTACGTGCCACATTCACCCTTTCACACACATTCACTCAGTGATGGCAAAGTCCATCGAACAGAAACTAACATTCAAACACATTCACACACCGATGCATGGCATCGGGAGCAATTTGGGGTTCAGTATCTTGCTCAAGGATACTTCGACGTGTGGCTGGGGATCGAACCCACAACCTTCCGATTTAGGAACGACCCGCTCTGCCTCTGAGCCACAGCCGCCCTGTGAGTACTGCAAGCCAGAAAATATGAATTTGGTTAGAGAAGTTTGGCTGAATCTAGTGGGATAAGCAAATGGCAACCTACACAGCTGCCTGATACAGTTATTGTCTTCTTTATGATTGTCAAAATCTCCTTGTGGACACACTTTCTCTTTAATGTTAATATGATGTTTGGAATATACAAATACTGGCATGGACAGTGGAATTGGACATTGCTGTTGGACTGGTTTGTGAAATGTATGTGGTCATTTCAATAGCCATTTTGATAGTAGTTACCACAGTCGGTCCAAGCTGACTCCGCCAAGGTGTAAGATACAAGGTTACAACACAGCCTTCCAAGTCTACATGGGGTGAGTGTTTGGGATGATGCTGAAAGTGAGACTTTGGATGGAATATTACTATAATCTGGTATTGCTCTTCTTTAATGTTTAGGGACTTGAGAGACATAAAATCAAAAATAAATTAGCAGTGAACTAGATATCCTTATTTTTATTCACTAGTAGAGTACGAAAATGTGTTTGTTTTAGTCACAGGTCCAAAATTTGCGGGCGAACCCAAATCAACCCAGAAATGTACCAGCTGGAACCAAACCAGACTCAACAGTCAAAGGTCAACTTCGCTGTGACATCATGTCATGTCATAGGCCTAGCACCAGTGATCTATAGAAATACTCTACAGTCTACTGGCTCATTATGATGATCTGATTGGTGGATCCTGGTCATTCATGTCACTGACATGCCCAAACATTACCCTGTTTTATGTAAGTTTGTTTTAAACCCATGCTAAGCATGAATACACTAAGAGGAGTAAAACCAAATACCCAATTCTCAGTGAAAGAGACACTGAGCTGAAGAAAAAAAAGCATTTTCCACTCCACTGAACTCTCTTGCTTCTGTGTGAGCAAGAGACACCCATGGGAGAGAAAAAGTGACAGAGGTGAGGGTTTGTGGGGTTGGGGGGCATTTCGACACTAATAATTACTACACCACTATTGTGCTGGTAAGGATCATATTGAATGTGTGCAAGTGATGATTTTGGTTTTGTCATTTATCCACCTACCACTGTTTAGTTATACCTATGGCTCGACATTGTAGTACTGGAATGGGTGATGGGGGCACAACTAGGAAGCCACAATTGTGATGTCAAGCTTATGCTTTTGCCTCTGCACATCTAAGCACATAAGCAGCCATGTTGCTTTATCGATGGACTACATTAGACAGACAGACAGACAGACAGACAGACAGAATGGATGGGCAATAAATTCTCACTCCCAACTCGTCAAATACTGCAGTTTGGTAAGTGACCCTCCACAAAATATGACGCTGTTTGTTTCCCTCTCACGTAATTAGCTAGCAAGAATAAATATGCAATGCCCGGTTAGAGTTTCAAAATAAAGGTTGTGTGCATTAACACTGTCAGCGGTCGCAGTGTGGTTAGGTCGAGGAACAAAAACTGCTTGGTTAGGATTAGATAAAGAGTAAGTTGTGTTTTATATATCTGATACAACTTAAGTAACAAACTTAGTGCAATTTAAGAATGTTACACAACATACATAAAACAAATTGTTTAGTTTTGGTGTCACATGGGATACGCACAGTGAACTCTTGGGTTTAAGTCCTGTGTTAGTTTGAGGCATCCATACACCCCACTACCTCCATATGTGGACTTTTTCCACTCTTTATACTACATCACCTGCTTGTGTGGACGTGTTCACAAATGACACAACAGGAATACCTATAGTTTCATATTTTGAAGTGGATTGCCACTGACCAAACTGCAGTTGTGACAGCTTCGGAGTGAGAACGCATTGGGATGGATGTTTCAGTGAAAACTGCTTCCTTCACAAACTGCATTCATGGGCCCCTAGAGCTCACAAGCAAATGTTCTGGTTGGTTGATTGGTTGGTTTGTTCTCTTAAGAGCCATGGCTATGCTGTTTTTCAGACTTGCTGCAATGCCCTTGAGAAAGTTGTTCGTTAAAATTCAAACAAAAGCGGCTGTTTAGAGTGTTTGGAACATACTGTACATAAGAATGGAAAGCATAGAAGAGAACTGTACTGCATGAGTGGCGTGAATATTTTGGATGTTTGATTTTTAATTTAGTAAACCAGATCACTGGAAGAATTATTATTATTTTTTACCCAGGGTCTAATGGCTGCACATCAGTGACACAAGATGTGTTCCTTTTGTCAAATTTTTTTCAGAATTAGATCAACTTAAAGCCTACAGAACAAATTCCACAAAATTTGCTCTGGATATTCATATTTATATTATTTTTAGTACTGCTAATAACTTTGAATAGAAAGATCATCTTTATATCATTTGTCCCACTTTTGCCCTGTGGTATGTCATGAACACTGTAGGCTCATGGACCGCTAGAGAGTCTTTTATAAGTCTATGTTCCTCTGTGACATAGCTATACAGAAAAAAAACCTACTGCAGGTGTTTGAGAACTCAATAGTTTTCTGTGCATACTGAAATAACTTGTTTCTCTTCTCCCCCTTAGTCTCTATGGCAGACACATGCAGGCCAACCCAGAACCTCCAAAAAAGAGCAATGATAAGAGTAAGAAGATCAGCCGCAAACCACTGGCAGCCAAGAACAAATAATAAGAAGATTGAAAATGGAAATGAAAGCTTGCTCAGCCAGCCAACCTCACTGCATGTGCCTTTATTCTTCTTTCTGTTTTGTTAATAAAAACTGTATCACATGGAAATGTATCAGTTAGGTTTCTAAAGTAAGATTATATTTCTATGTAGTGTTAAACACTGTTTGGACTGTATTCCACCAAATCCATATGGATTTTTTCTTTTTTTTTTTTTTTTTTATTCAACTCAAGTGTTTGAATCTTGGTGCTACTTACTTAAAGTGCTTGGGCATAGAGGTGATTATTAGTAACACATATAACAACCAGATTAGAGGTAATAGAAGCAAAGTTAACAATATATTGTAACATATATATAATGTCATCCTTAGAAAGAAGAAGACACTCACTTTATATGAGATCTGCAACTGAGGTATTCCGTTCACATAACCGGTAGACATTGGCACACCAGCTAGAATGGCTCAGAACCTCGTTCAACTTTCATGACCCACCCTACTCTGCCTCTTATTGGCTTACCATTACACTCATACCTGAACCCTAACCAGTCTCACCCTTCATGCCTAAACTTAACCAACCAAACTAAATTGGGGCACAGAGCAAACTGTGGGTCGGACTTAGAAAGGGTCATTTGTGATCATTCCATCTCTGAGAGCATCCTGAGACTATGTTCAGGTGTTCCTGTGTTTGTACTACATTGTATCTCCATTTCCACTTTATATTTGTTTAGTTGTTTTAAAAAGCTTTACCAAGTTGTCTATCACATTTCAGCCTGTATCAAAAATGAATGTAATCAATAAAAAAAATACAAAAAACATGCTTCAAGTCATGCTTTTATCACAGGCTCTCTGTATCGAAGGTTTCAAATAAAACAATCACAATGTTCTCACTTGTTTTGTTCATTTCAGATAAAAAATACACTACAGTATAAGTCATAAAGCCATGAGCCAAAATTGTAAGCTGTGTCTACAGTCATGTTTGGGCTTTGAATGCAACTTGCTGTAATGTCATTTTAACCCTTTAAGATTGCATCCTCAGTTATATTGTACCCCTATTTAACAGTGTATGCCAAAAGATCGACAAAAACTCAGTTTCTTTGTATATAACTAACCAATCTCAACCAATAATATCAAGACAGTACCCCGTCAATCACTCTTCAGCTCTTAGCAACCAAGAGTGAAAATCCATTAGTTAGCTAGCATATGATAAAAAAAAAGAACCTAATTAAAATGTCATGTTATGGCCTTGTTAAAATATAATTTAAATGTCATGTAGTTAGTTAAAACAATCATTTTGATAAGTTAGAAAGACACTCATGGTATCTGTCGTCCTGAAACTGAGTGTGTGTTTGTATGCATTGTTTAAAATGTTATTTTATGTTATTTATGCGATTTCTTAATTCTTCTTCCATTACTATTTCCCTTATTTAAGGGCACAACATTAATGTTTATGAATGAATTACTTTCCATTTCTGATGGTCTTTGTCATAGCTGTATGAATGGGTGAATGTAGCATGTAGTGTAGAGTGCTTTGAGTGGTCGCAAGACTAGAAAGACACTGTTTAAGTGCAGTCCATTTACCATTTAAGTAAGAGTGTTGTTTTTATTATGAAGCAAATCTTGACTTATTTTGGTTTATTTTATCCAAATGAATCCTATTAGTCTATTTGCCACCCAATACAGCCCCATTGTGAATCCATTGTCATTACAAATGTTAAGTATGGGTTCCCAGGACATAGAAACTGCTAACTTGCATATGTAGGTCAATTAGCATAATTATAATTAATTTGCATAACCAATGTGGTAACATTAACTGTTGATTTTTTAATTACTGTTGGCTTAGTTTGTCTTTCTTTTTTGTTAATTTACTTTATTTTTTATCAACTTACTTGTATTGAGACGATAAACCTTATGTAAAAAGCGTTTCTTCTGTCTTTCCATGTGGCTGTTATTCAGCCCACAGCAGTAACTACAGTGGCAATGACACAATGTTGCACAGCAAAAAAACTCAAGCAGAACTGAAGAAATATCTTATTATTATAAGAAGATGGAACATATACATGAAATTGAGCTTCATTCTAAAATGCAAGTCAAATTCATTAAGCATATTGAGAATTGGGAGTGTGAATTCATGCTAATTGCACAACGTATGCAAGTTAGCATCTGGTAGTTTCTATATGCTGGGGACCCATACTTAACATTTCTAACATAAAACTTTGGGGGTACTCAACATTTCCTGGTTCATGTTTCTGACAAGAAGACTATATGTCAAATGTCAGCGACACATGAATGCTACTGAAGTGTCTGCTTGTTAAATCCACACCGACTCTGACCTCTGTTATGGCTGTTTTGTTCTCAGAACCAACTGTCCTGTCAGGGACATAGATGAAATTCAATGGTCAAAATAGATTTCAGGCGCTCTAGGTAGAGTATATATGAAGAGCACTGCAGTCACTGTAGCTTTAAATGCCCAAGATTAATTCAGAAAGCTCACAGTAATACTGAGGCCCTTGATCCATCTGTGTGATTTGAATGGCTGCCTGTGGAGATACTGCTTCATTGTCAGAACTATTTTTATTCTTTATATTGGGTTATTGTATGTGTCAAACTGCTTTTACTTGTGGAATAACAGTGATATTATGATAAATAATTAAAAGGTATTAGGATATGCATGTTTATCATTTCCAGGTGCATCTTTAACTAAGATAGCATTGAGTGCACCACACAAATGTATAAGATATGTTTTAAATTGCTTAATTTGCTAATTGGAAAGGTTCAGGTTTAATCAGCAGAAAGTTGTGTGGATGTGGAGGGCACGGTTTGAAAAGTTTCCTGAAAGAAAAGAAAATTCAATTTGGTAGCCTTAGTTCAAGACCTCCATCCATCTCAGAGAGAATCTAAAGCAATGGCAACCTGACTCATTCTCTGTGGCCTTCTGTTGCAATATGTGTCAGCTTTGACCAACCATCACCTCCACCCTAAAACTCAGTCAGACTATAGTCATTGCTCCACTGCTTGGTGTTTTTCTCTTCTTTTGGTGGATGTTGTTCCTGTTTTGTTCTCACTTCATCTCAATTCATCTCACACCTTTCCAAGGACACAATGAGTCCCAGGCTAACTAAAGCCCATTGATTTTCACAAGGTGATTTATAGGTGGCGTGTGTGTTAGGGCAGGCTTGATTGTCTAAGGGGGGCTGCACTGTGCCACTTTAATGAGGGTGGTGACACAGGGCAGAGAAGCAAGCACCCTGCCCACCACAGGATGAGCAGCTAATATACAGCTGCTGTTTTACTTAATGACCAAAACATTTATACACTGTATTTCTTTAAACTTTTGGTCTAATGTTAAGCGTTTTGATTAAATTTTTCTCCAAATGTTTGATTGTAAATGTTATAACAAATATAGGAGGCTGCACTGGTAAATGTATACATGTATATGTATAAATGTCACTTAAAACTAAAAAAGTTTTGAAACAACATATTCTATTTTGGAATCTCATTAGAGTAAGTTGAGTTTATTAAAACTTATGTTCTCTCATAGTTTTGCCGCAAACGCTGTGAAAGGCCCTATTTAGAGCCATTGTGGCTCCCATTTGGTTTGTCTGACATGGCGGACTCTGTAGAAGAGGACCCACTCCCTCTGAAGAAAAAGTGCATTCTAAGGTAACAAAAACATGATTCTTGTTCTCAGGTGATAATACACAAATGAAAAGATTAATATGAATAATATATTCTATTTCTGCCAATAGATCCTCTTAAACATTACACACTGGGCCTTTAAGACTCTCAATTGTCAAAGAATTGTGTGAGCTATGGTCTGTCTAGACTTCATGTCACACACCCTTCCTTTGAGAAAACATGGGCGTAATAGATTTGAAAGTGACGTGTCCTTTGACAATGCAGTGTATACCATCCTCTGCAGAGTGTCAGAGGTCAGATTTTTTGACTGCAGACAGATGAGAGCTGGCTTCATTTCCCTGAGTGCTGAGGTCCTGATGGTCTTTCTCAGATCAGAGTTCAGATCCCATTCAGGTGGGAGAAAGAAAATCTGAATTGAAATGGTCAAATGGCATGCGATTTGTCCGGTTCATATTGTCATGAAAAAAATCAGATGAGTCACATATGAGCAATAAGATCAGATTTGGGTTACTTTTGCCTGCAGTCTGAACATTGCCTAAAGGCCCTAGCACCCAGTTTTTTCGGAACAGGTTTGGTTTTCTGTGTTTTTTCACACCAGTCAGATGAGGACAGCACACAGACAGCAGGGAGAGTGACAGCACACAGACAGGGAGGGGGACAGCTTAGCCTCTTGTAGTCGCTGTGCCAAATGCAAGATGGGGCAGAGTAGCAACAGCCTGTGGAGGAACCTCCAGTGGAGAGAAGCAAGAGAGGAAATGAGAAAAAGGAGTGAGAGACAGAGTGACAACAGAGCAGACAGCTTCTTTATCAGCAGGTGAAACTCTCCTTGTTCTTGACATCTTAGACCCAATATTTCTGTTTTCTTTTTCTAGAGAGAGGGCCACAAAATCATCCTCATTGTGTTATGACTTATTTCATGTTGTGAATTTCACAGCAAATAGAAACACGGTCGAATCATAGTGCAAGCTTTCTATGTGTATTTATTTAACTGTATCTGTATATGTATGTCAATGTGTGTATATATTTTATATATATATATAAGGTGAATAGAATTGGTCCAAGCACAGAACCTTTTGGAACTCCACGACTAATAACTATATATAACTTTAGTGTGCATGGAGGATTCATTGTTAACATGTACAAACTGAGATTGATCTGCTAAATAAATAGGACTTAAACCAGCTTAGTGCGGTTCCTTTAATGCCAATTAGATGTAAGTAATATAGTAATAGAATATGACGGTCAGTGGTGTGAAATGCGGCACTAAGATTTAATTCCATTGTCTGATGCAATTGATAGGTTGTTAGTAACTTTCACCAGTGCTGTCTCTCTGCTACTCTCAAGTACTTTTCTAATTAATGAAAACATATCAGTGATCTATTTAAATGATACAGTGGACCCCAGTTGTACACTGAAGATTAAGATTGAGATTACAGAACACACTCTGTGGGCACCATGTTGGAGACCCTTGAGAGATGTCATGTTCGCACAAGCAACTAAAGGGAAAGATTCTCTTTTTGCTCCATGGGGGAAACATCTTTATGTGCTGCTGAGTGAATTCTAAATTAACTTGCTACTGTGGTGTAAAATATTAGTACATTATTAATATTGTATATTTGGAACATTAAGAACAGTTTCCTGTTCTGTAAAGACTGAGCGCGTCCTCTAAGGACAGACCCAGGGGAACATTGAGAAACACCTTGACACAAAATTGGTAGTACATGTCACTAGGAGAAATGCTAATTTGAAATAAAAACACACTTTGTAACAAACATATTTAAAAATAAAAAGACTTAACCAAAAGAAAACATTCTCACTCTTATAGCAACTCCATATTAACCTTTCAATAAAAAAAAGAGATTCTGCCTTTTGTTTGATTATCATATATAAATAATGATATTACACACACACACACACACACACACACACACACACACATTATGGTATGCCATTTAGAAAATTATCATTATATTATATTACTATGTATACATTTATACATATCTATATACATATTGTATGAATAATACAAACCATCTGGCACCCCATTTTTATGACTGTCAGTGCTCTCATGTATTTGATGTGATGTAGCATGTTTACAGATATTAAATGCATTCGTATGTGTGTATGTATGTGTATATACAATGTATCTATCAACTTATTTTACTAATTAAATGTTTTATATTTGTTCTTTATCTTTTTTAGTGATGCTCTATTTTAATAGTTCATTTTATTGTTTTTACTTTTACTTAATACTTGTATTTCTTGTGAAGTACTTTAAAACATCACTTTTCAAAAGTGCTGTACACATCAAGTTTATGATGATAATGACTATTATTACTCTGTCCAGCCTTTTTGTGCCTGCTATAAGCCCTCTACAGCAATTCATCATTCACTGTGCTGATATTGAGTAAGGTGCCAATTCAATGATCCTCTGTTACCTTCACAGCTCATTTTCAGGGACTCTCGATAAGTGGACGTTTGGATGCCTAATGAAGCCAGAGAGGCTGAGGGTTGTTTGATTTAATTGGCGTCAATACACTGTCACTGTCTCAGTGTTGTCCTTATGCACAAGAAAAATTACTTTCTTCATAGGCACACATTTACACGATAGCAACATGTCATTATCAGTAGGTCTATGCACAGTTGCCAGGTTGTGTTTACTAAAAAATGTGGGCTACTTTAATGAATAGTGAAAGACTGAGTTATAATTAAGAACCAAAGTGTCAGTGACAGTGTAGCTGTTCTGTAATCAGTCAAAATATTTATCATCTTTGATATTAATAACATGTAGGATTCATATTTATTGAACCCTCCCCATCTTTAAGACTGGATTGGGAGTTATTTTTAGTTTATTCTGGGTGATTACATTTTGGACATTGTATTTAAGGTAAATTGGCCACAGCTATCCATAATTTTCCAGTCTAGCATTCAAAAAAGTGTTTTGCAGAGTCAGGTTCTTCATGTGTGTAGGCTATAAGGGTAAACATAAGGAAGAGAAAAATAACAATATTTGCTTTTCAAACCACACCTATGCACCTTTGTTGCCTTTGAGCTTAATTAAGGAATATTAATAAAATCTTTCTAGCCTACTTGCAGTTCACCTGAACAATATCTATGCAAGTCTTCTAGTTCCCAGGATATGCACCTGTTAACTGAGGCTGTTTTCTCCTCTTGTGCTGATCATTTAGTAACTTTCTATATTTTTTTGTCTAGCTTTAAAGTTCCATTGTCTAACATTTAAGATGATCTATTTGCAGAAATTTAATATAATATTCATAGGCATGCTTCCATTAGTGTATAATCACTTGAAAATAACAATTGTGTTTTCTCAAGATCCAGACATCTAATGACTACAATTCTTCATCCGGTTCAAATATAGAATTAAAAACCACCAAGAACTAAAAAGTGTATGGTAAATGTGTGGCTTGAAACTGGATAAAAAGTCAATTTATGACAGCTTCTGGCAGACAACCACAGCATGCACAAACGGGATATGATGCCATTTACAGGCGACTGGTCAAACCCAGCTTTACCTGAATAAAATGACAGATTTCTCTGTGTTTGAACATAGTTGGAAACAACAATTGTTGGCATAATGAAGTACACATCTCAGCAAAACATAGGTCTAGTGTTTATTGACATTATAAATTGTTACATATTCTAGCTTAAATCTCTGCGGCCAATGAATATCTTATTATGGAATCTTTCGTTCACGAAACTGACAGAACGCTCAAAAAAAGACTTCACCAAATAGGCAGTTTGGGGTGAGGGTACCCCCCTCACAAACACCGTTTTCCCTCCAAGCTAATGGGAAAGTAAGGAAGATCACGGTTACAGACCAGTGATTAAATCTGTTGGCCCGTGATCACAATACACTGTTTTCATAGCTGGAATCAGATTCGATAAAATGCCCCATTCCTATTTGGGTAAAACTGTTTCTATTGGACATCAGGATCTTTACTGTTATCATCTCTCTCTCTCTCTCTCTCTCTCTCTCTCTCTCTCTCTCTCTCTGTCCGTATCTGCGTTTTTGTCTCTTAGAGCGCTCTACATCAGGAGACGGTCTAAGTCATCCTGATCCACCTTAAGAGTTCAGTTACTGTACAGATACTTTGGTTAGGGACCTGTGGATCAAAGAGGCGCCAGACCCCATGTCTGGATTTGAGGGCGTCTCAGAGATGCTGAATCCAGTGCTTTTGGAATTCACGGAGCAGTAACGGGCTAAACTTTCACTGAGACTTGTATAAGCAGCGCATCAGCAGAAAAAGTGTGGAGAAGAGAGGGAAGAGGACGCCGAGGGGAGGGGGGCGCTGCTTTAAAAACTTTATAAACATTACCAGCAAAGTGTAGCTCCGCTACATATTTTTTTCTTAAAGTGGGTTCCTCTCCAGCCAGCAAAATTTCACCCAAAAGCAGACAACAGGATCGTCCTGCGCTGACGCGGCTGGTCGGCAGGAAGCGGCTGGTGGCGGCGGGGGTCCTGGGGGTCGTTATGGTTCTGGTTTTGGTTATCCTCATCCCAGTTCTCGTCAACACAGCGGGGACAGCGGCGCACTACGAGATGCTCGGTACCTGTAGGATGGTGTGCGACCCTTATGGCACCAAATCTCCGAGCAGCACCGCTACGGCAGACACGGTCAGAGACAGCAGCCTCGTGCAGTCTTTACCCACTTTTATCCAAGGTCCAAAAGGGGAACCAGGTCGTCCAGGTAAGGCAGGTCCGAGGGGACCTCCCGGCGAAGCAGGACAGCCCGGCCCAGCGGGGCCACCTGGAGAGAAAGGTGATCCGGGCAGACCTGGTTTACCAGGACCTCCAGGACCCAGCGCTGCTGCCGGTGCAATAAGCGCAGCCACCTACAGCACCGTCCCCAAGATCGCCTTTTACGCAGGGCTGAAAAAGCAACACGAGGGCTACGAGATGCTCAAGTTCGACGACGTGGTGACAAACCTGGGAAACCATTACGATCCGACCACCGGGAAGTTCACGTGCTCCATCCCCGGGATTTATTTCTTCACTTACCACGTCCTGATGCGCGGAGGGGACGGCACCAGTATGTGGGCTGATCTGTGCAAAAACAACCAGGTAATACGAATTGTGTACAAATTAACGAATAGTAATGATGCAATCTTACTACAGTGTTTATTTTTGAAAAGCTTGTTGTTTGAGTGAACGGAGTCAACACTGTTCTGTTCCGCTCTCTCTTTTTATTACTATGCAGTAATAAAGTAAGGTTAGTATGAAAAAAAAAAACCAAAACAATGGCAAGAGGGTGTGTGTGTGTGTTGGTGGATACAAACACTTGTACAGGGAATTGGTACCTAGAGGCAGGAAGCAAAGCCTGGTGATGGATTTGATCGATGGGTTTAACGGGTCAGAGGTCAGAATCTGGGTGTCGTCCCCCTCACTGAGACTGGATGGAAGGAAGTCTGAGCGCTTATTAAAATGTATTATATTATATTCCTATATTTTAACTTCTGCCCTATTTTATGTATTAGTTTCTGTTTTTTATTTTTTATTTTATGAGCATGGTTGGAGGGATCGTGGGAACCTGGGAAGATTTAACCCTGTGAGTGTTTTTACATTTGATTTTTGATCTTCATTTCAGATGTTTTAAATTTTCCTTTAAACAGGTTTAAATGTATATTTCTCCATATTTTACATCTATTTCTACAATACAAATAATTATTTAGTATGATATGTAACCGTAAATGAATCTTATATATATGTTATCACCTCATATACTGTCTAAGCTGCAGAAATGCATCATGTTTGATGGTTGGATGTTTGAGGCAAAATAAATGAATGAATACATAAATACACATTTTGTCCAACTGCGGTAAATGCCAAATGATACTGTAAAAGTGTGTTCCAGCTCCAGCTTCTAGTTTAGATATTAAGATAGTAATATTAATATCATTCTGTCATAGTTAAGTGAATGCATTAAGGGAAAATGTGTGGTCAGCTTTAGAAATAGGTGGTTTCCAGACAACAATTTATGAGTATAATTCCAACAGTAAAAACAAAGGAAAACGAAGAAAAACACCTCAAAGTACACTACTTAGGACTACTGCTGAAACAACATAATAATAATAATAATAATAATAATAATAATAACAATAATAATAATAATAATAATAATAATAAAACGCTTGATGACCTACAGAGGCCCTTTGCTGTCTCCTGACTCCTCTGTTGTGTTTGTCCTGCTCTCTGTAGTGATCAGGCTGTCAGCAGCAGATCTAATCCGTGGGGCAAACTAGTGTTGCAGTGTTGCTCCACCAAGCACATCCCTCCTGTCAGCTGGCTACTGTAACACGCACCGAACACAGCAAACATCTCTGGGATTAAACCAGCAGAGCTGCACACCATGAAAAATCAGATGCTGAAAGACATGTTTCAATTAGGTGTACTGCTCCTGAGACTTTTAAACATGTTCAGAGGAGGAAAAAATACAATTCTGCGAACACACAAGACTGCTTTTTGCCTTGATTTGAATAATTAAAATAACTTGTAAAATGTGATTTCACTAGTTAAAGCAACTCATTTCACTACGAAGTAATTGGTGGAATGATCAAAAGCCTTTTACTTATTTGGTGCAATCAGCCGCATCCTTTATGGTTTAAAGATACTGTTTTTTTCCTTGATTTAAGAAAAATTTGCAGTGCAAACATTGTGCAAAAATTCTTCCCTTTTTAGCACCTGGAGACATCTTTGCATGCACATGAAAATAAAATTATTAATAAAATGAATGCTGCAATGGAGTGATAGTGACAATAATTTGAAATGTATTAGCATGCAAGTATAATAATAATAATAATAATAATGATACTATAAAAAATACTGGTATCACATGAGATTGAAAAGTTAATTCTGAGATTGTGATTCAAAAGCTTCACTATATAAATAAATTACTGAAAATGGACCATTGTGATAATCATTCTTCAGCAACCTATAATTATTTGGCATCTGGATTCATGATGACATGATGAAAGCGCAAGCTGCCAGATAAAGGTGCAATTGTTTGGCATTTTATTTTCTGTAAATATCCAAGGCAAGTTTAGTCTTCTTTTGGTCCATACAGCTGCACACTTATAACCAAAAAATCAAGATCAATCCTGTCCCTACTGAGGTTTTCAAGTTTTTGTAAAATTATCGTAAAAGTCAGACACCTGTTGTCCCGAAATTCCAAGAAAGGAGAATGCAGATATGTCTCTTATGACTGCTGCTGTTTGTTGAAAGTATTTTGTTAGAGTGTCATTCTAAATTGTATCCAGACTGTCCTTCTACAGATCCACACTGACATCCTCTCTGTATTATATAATGGAAAAAACAATGGCACCATATAAAATATTGCAGGAAATGAGCAGGTTATGTTTTCATAATTTTGCTGTAAAATCAAATTTTAAGGGAACACTGACAGATTTTATTAAAAATAGAATAAAGGGGATTTATTATTTTCACACTCAAGTTTTTACACACACATAGGCCCGAAATACAGGGTAGATATGCAAATGTGGCGAGATAGTTGAGTGATGGCCTGCCACATAGCCGCACCCTAGGAGCAGTTAAGGGTTTTACTCAAGGGAATCTCAGCAGTTCCCAGGAGGTGGAACTGGCACCTCTCTAGCTGGCCACACTCCATACTGTGGTCCATGCCGAACCTTAACCAGCGACCCTCCGCTTTACCAGCCAAGTAACTACTGCTGCCCTAACAGTTTGTTGGAGCCAGCGGATGTTTCGTATTGCTAGTTGAGCTGCTCTCATTGGCTGCGCATTTTCGATTCATCCATAGCAGAAAACAATAGTGGCTTGCCTGGTAATGCACACTTGTATTACAGGTAATGAGTATACTGAAATATGTTTCTGAAGCACTTTCAGATGAGAAATTAGGATTGGATTTCCAGCAGCTTACAAAACACTTGTATAGAAAATAAAAGAGGTATAAAAAAATACAGTATAAGATAAACAATAAACTCTTAGCTAAATATAGACAGTAAACAATAGACAGTAAACAATAAACTCTTAGCTAAATATAGAAAGTAAACAATAGACAGTAAACAATAAACTCTTAGCTAAATATAGAAAGTAAACAATAAACAGTAAACATTAAACTCTTAGCTAAATATAGAAAGTAGAGATAAGAATAAAAGTATATTGCACTTAGTGGATTAAGTTGTTGCACAAAAAAAGTGTCCAGGTATGTATGAGTAGATTATTATTACACAGTGAGTGGCTACCACTCCTTCCCTTCTGTCCTCTTTACCCTATTTCCTCCTCCCCCCGAGTGAGGAGTTGTAGAGTATGATGGCATGAGGGACAAAGGAGTTCTTGAGTCTGTTGGTCCTACACTTGGGGAGGAGCAGCCTTTCACTGAACAGGCTCCTCTGGTTGCTGATGATGGTGTGCAGGGGGTGGCTGGCATTGTCAATAATGTCCAGCAGTTTGTCCAGTGTCCTCCTCTCTGTCGCCGTCACCAGTGAGTCCAGCTTCATGCCGACCACAGAGCTGGCCCACCTTATCAGTTTATCCAGTCTGGAGCTGTCCTTCTTGGATATGCTGCCCCCCCAGCACACCACAGTGTAGAAGAAGACACTGGTAACCACAGACTGGTAAATAGGCAATGCAGTAACAGAATTGTTTGATCATTACTGTCTAGTTCGACAGTTTGATCTGAATTTTGTGTGTTGCGCTAGATGGGACCTTAATTTACAAAAGGAATCATAATGTATGGAGTGAGACCATAAACTCATTAGAAAACTCATTAGTTGACTTGATTAATAAATCAAGTGAGAAGTCGGGTCATTTCTCCATAAGAGTGCATGGTATCGGTTTTCATTGCAGCAAATGGAGCCCTGCTGGCCATAACACTTCTGCGTACTGTCAGTACTACTACATACTGATAACTGGCAGCTCAGGACATAAATGATGTGTGTCCAGGATGTCCAGGATGCATATGTAAAATTTAGTTGATAAACAGATACAGATAATGGTGTGGGTGATAATCATCCCCCATTAGATTCATACAGGGATATGAATAACCATGTTATGTTGTTAAGTGTTGTTGACAGATGATGTTGATGATATGACATAGAACAAAATTTGAGTAAAGTTAAATTTCAAACAACAAAATAAAAAACTATTCTAATTCCTAAAATATTGTGATGAAAGGATCAGTCCCATTAGTGACACTGGTGGAAGTGTCATCTAGGGCACCAAAATGCCCAGACCCTGCCCTGTGAACAACACAACATTTTCTTATTAAGTTTCAATCGTGATGCTAAAATCAATTCTAATGCAGAACCGTAATCATAAACAGTATCTTCCTTTTTCTTTTAAAATCTGACTGATCCTTGTAAAACTGCATATTCAGTCATGAACATGACTTGGTGCAGGGCCATTTCTAGACATTTTTAGTGTTCTCAGCCAGACATCCACTGGGGCCCCTGCGAACTTGATCTTTTCATAACTAAATAATTTAATTGTATTATCAATTCATTTGGCTTTATTCAACACTCATTATGTATACATTTCATTTTTACCACCTAATACTGTCCACAATTACCCAAAAGCAGCATGCACTGCCAAAATTATGACAAATCATTGTTGCAAAAATAAATTGTGTGTCACCACCATGATCAAGGTTTAGTTAGATTTGGTAAGCTATAGCAACACTGACTGTTGGTAGGAGACAGGATGTGAACAGTGTTTTGTTGAACCAACTCCCTCCTTCCTACTGGGACTGTAACACAAGTTACTATCTGTTTGTGTCACAAAAATATTTGTATTCATATTTATAGTGGCGGGGGCCTACCCTGGCAGTTGAAATCGTCTAGTCTGCCTCATTTTCTGCATTAAATTGTTTTTACAGTATCATTTATACTATAATAACTATTCCTGCAAATACAAAACAAAATATACAAAAATTAAATTTAATAATAAATAAAAAAATGTATTTATTATTTATCCATGTACCTAAATTAATCAAATAATAAAGCATAATTTGTATTGGAACCCCACATTCAGCAAAAGAAAAAAAAAAGTCTGAACAGAGCCTAAATTCATTTTGTTTAACTGTTAATGTCATGGATAGAAATCAAGGATGTAAAATATTAAAGCTTTTACATAGAAATTAATCTGTTATATTCCAGTCATTGTCAACCAAGTTCATGCAATGCTGATTAAGCTATCACAGAGGTGGGAGTAAATCACTCCCATGAAAGTCACAAGCAAGTCTCAAGTCTGTAAAAAAATAAAAAATTAGTATAGTTTGTTGATCCCCTTAAGAAAATTCATTCTCTGTATTTGACCCATCCTAACTACTAGGAGCAGTGGGCAGCCACTCTGCGGCTCCCAGGGACCAACTCTAGATCTGCATCAAGGGCACTGACGGGAGAATTAACCTAACCAAAGCACCTGGAGGAAACCAGCAGGCACGGGGAAAACATGCAAACTCCACACAGAAAGTTGGTTGAGTGGCTGCCTGTGGCTTTGAAAAAAATTATATGCAAATTAATTAGGTTTTTTGTTTTTTGGACATCCTGACCTGGCACCTTTCTTCTATATTTAGCTGAATCTCAATTGTGGTGGCTATTAGTCTCAAGTCTCACTAGTTAGGCTAGCTATACATTTCCAAATCCATAATGAGAAAAGTCTCTAAAATAAAGAATTTAATCGTGCTGGTATATGGCTTCAGACAGATTTGTATCTTATTCTTTTGGCCAAGAATGTTTGCTTTGATGGTAAAGATTTCTGACCCCTGGTGTTGTGGATCTGTTCACATCCACATACTGTGCACAACTTATCTCTCAATCTATGCAGCTACTGTACGCGCATACACCTGACAGATTGCTGAATGATTGAAAATGGGACTGAAAGAGTCAGGTGTACAGACACAAATATTTCAGCTTCTAATGGCCATTAGCAGGGCTGCAGACAAAATGTCTTGTGCTTGATGTTTACTAAATGTGTGTCATTTGTCCATGATTGTTTGCATGTGTACATTCCTGCAGGTGCGTGCCAGTGCCATAGCCCAGGATGCAGACCAGAACTATGACTATGCCAGTAACAGCGCTGTGCTGCATCTGGAACCAGGAGACGAGGTCTATATTAAACTCGATGGTGGCAAAGCTCATGGAGGCAACAACAACAAGTACAGCACGTTCTCTGGATTCATCATCTATGCTGATTAGACAACAACACATCCTTCAGCTATTACAATCCTCATGGCCCAGTCCTTCTACAAATTTTCCCATGCAAATAAGAGGCTCAGACTTTTAAACATGTGCGGAAAAAACCACTACAGTCTTCATAACCTGCATATTATTTTATTTTCTACATTCTGCCATCATCACAGTCCTGAGTGCAAGTGACTTTGGACTATAACATTGATGAAATGGTTGAATTGTGTGGATCAAATCATATAACCTATAATCATAAACTATATTTATGGTGATAATTAATAGGTAAGCTGTTAATGTGTGTGCTATTTCCTTTTTTATATATAATGCTGTGAAGATAGCAAGGAAAAGCTGAACAACACTTGAAGTGCAATATGATACACTGGAAGAAGATTATAATTCCTTCACAGTATTTGAGCCTGTTCACAGGATACAATATATATTTTTTCTCATGTTCTGATTTTAATATTAATCATTATCTACTGATGATGGTGATTCCCCATCATTGGTTTGCAGCACCACTTCCATTAAAGCATTATTGAAATTCTTTCATGAATGGATTTTACACAATTGACAAATCTTAAGCCTGTTCAGAACAGAACAGAAGCACTGTTGCTTATACCACTGGTTCCCAACCTGGGGGTCCCCAGAGCTTCCTAAGCAGTTGCAAAGCCTTCTTGATTTTTAAGGGGTAAAAGAAAAACTCACAGACAAAAAAAAATATCACTCTTTAAGTTACTGAAGTACATGGTTAAAACAATCAAAGAGTTAATAGGACAACAAGAAGATGACAAGGAAACACTGAATTTGTCAAAAAAGGCTATAAGTTTAAGTATTTATGATTGCTTAATAAATACATAATACAATCAGAAAATTGTACAAAAAGCTCCTAAAATTTGATGTTATAGCCACAGGAAATAATCTACTTGTCTCAAGATGCTCTTTACTCTAAATCCCACATTTCCTTTCCGATGACTGTGGGCTATTTCTGTCATAGGTAATACATGTTTCAGCAATAATGTCAAAAGGAGGAACTACCGGCATCTGTGTGTGCAGCCATTCTAGTCACGATTGAGCTGATTTTGGCTTAGCCCTTTAAAATCAAATCCAATCAGACATAATTTAATTATGTTTTCCACAATTAAGCAGAAAATACAATACAATACAAATTAAAACAAAATATAGTTAGTTATCAACATTATTTATCTATTGTTGACATTGGTCCCTTAAGGATAAAGGTTGGGAACCACATACTCACAAAACACTTAATATCAGGTTTCTTTTATGTCCAGTAGCCCCACATGTTTCTGGATAACTCTCTTTAATTTTATTTATTAATTGTATTATTCCTCTCAGCTCCTGAATGCTCGGTGCTCATTTTTGCTCTGTGTTCCAACAATTGAGCGACCCCCAGTCAGAACCTTGGTCAACTTTCTCATTTTCTGTAATTACACATGCTATGTACTAGGCTTGTCTATGTTGAAAAGACAACCATATTTTGAAGATGGTTAAAAGATAAGGGACATAGGCTATAGATAATCATATTTTAAGCAAGTTAATGTTAACAAAACTGTTACTAACTAGCTAGCTAATCTACATTAATTAGATAACTGATTTGATAGCGGATGTTAGCAAAATGCAAGGTAATTAGCTAGCTAATGATTAATGTAGATTAGCTATCTTGTTAGCTAGCATTTTGTTGACATTAGCTAACAGTAGCTAAGCTGAGATGTGATTATATATGTATATTTTGTGTATTTTTTTGATTTATACAAATTTTGAAGATGGCTAAAATGTAAAAATGATATACACAAAGTCGACCAAGGTTCCAAAAAGGGGCGGGACTTAGGAAGGATCAATTGTGCCATGTAGCCCACAGTATTTGTATTTGCTTAAGTGCTGGGATGTCATTATTCAAGTGTGTCCCAGTGAGCTCTAATAAACGTCCACACAATAATGGCACTGTGGCAAATACCAGAAATACATCAAACAAGCAGAGGCTTGATTACTCCCACATACCACAAGTGTGGGTATTAGTACCGCTACATAGTCACTCCAGCTTACCAACCCTACTGCACTTTCTTGCTTATTGACCCACCCACTGCATTCCACTCCACTCCATCTACTTAAAGAAACAGTAAAAAAAAAAAAAATGGAAATCCAAGACAGCTTCTATGGGTGTAAACATTTAATTTCACTGCCAAGGACCACACCATACATAAGATATGTCTGAATGATTATTAACAAAACAAAAAGATAATGAGCAAAGCTTTAAATCTTGTATTTTTTCCGATGCTGCGCCATTTGTTAAACCAAATACAGATATGAATACAGATATTTTTGTGACATAGACAGATACATGGTATAGATACAGATATGAGCTTTGTGTGGCACCCCAACATTTTAACAAAAGTTATAGATTAATTTCAGAATCAGAATCAGAAATACTTTATTGATTGATTGATTTGTTCGTTACAGTTGTTCAAGGTGCTCACACAATGTTAAAGAATAGAAATAATATTTATATTACAATCGAACACAATATATATAGAATAGAAATGGACTGTACTTGTTTAGCGCCTTTCTAGTCTTCCAACCACTCAAAGCGCTGTACACTACATGCCACGCTCACCCATCCACACACATTTATACACTGATGGCAGTGGCTGCCATGCAAGGTGCGACTTACACTTTACCGGTGATCAAACCACCAACCTTCTGATTAGTGGATGACCCGCTCTACCTCTGAGCCACAACCGCCCACAAATGTATATATAGGTATATACATATGAGTAAAAAATATAAATAAAAATGGAAATGGAAATAATAATAATAAGAGCCTATGCCCCTTATAGTAATAATAATAAAATATATACTGCTGAAATATACAAAGTAATGTATGCCACAGTATGTGACTGATAGAAATTAAATGAGTAATAGTAGTGAGTTTTTTGTGGAAGATTGTGGTATTGCAGAAGTTATAAATTATTACAAAGAATGAGGGAATAATTATAAGAATTACATAATAATTACAAAGAATTGATTAGCATTGCTATTATTATTTCCAAATTTTCTACAGATAACATTGTTATTGTGAATTATTTTGACCTAAACCATGAGAAAAATCTGATATTGTGACAGTCTGTGCTAGTCTTCGACCAACAATTGCTAGGCTAGACTGTGCACAACACACAAGATAAACAAAGATACTCCTTCCTATTTAAATGCTTTGTGCTAAATTAAACATAATGAAAGTGTTTTCCCACAGCAAACTACTGTACACTAAATTATTATGTAAGTTGCTTTAATTCAGTGCTTCCTGAGATTCAGTGGTGAGTTTTTAAAAGCTGTTAAGGGCATACAGCTCACATACCTTTAGGTATAGTCTAGACCTACTGAAACAAATAAAATTGAATTGAAAATGGAATATGAAATCTTTAATGAATCAGTTATAACCAACCAACTATGGCTGTTGGTCATTGACAGTAGTGGTTGTACCTTTGGCCTTATAATCACAAAGGTTGCCAGAGCAGACTGAATGTGCACACATTCTTTTTTTTGCCCATGAATGCATCATGACTGGAAGATGTATGATGTTACATGAAACCAACATACATAATATTGGTACAGTATCTATCAAAGTAGAAATAGCTCTGATTAAAAAATGTGGTGAAATAAAAAAGAAAGTCCCTAAACATCAACAGTATAGTGTAAATATAGTAATAGACTTTTGTCTGACGACATGGTTGTGCTGGCACCAGTGCTTCTATTTGGCTGGGAACCAGTGACTCACGGTACTAACTAGCTACAAATATGGAAACTGCAAGAAACATTTCAGGGTTTCTTCACATGGCATCACAACAAATGAATGACGAATTAATGTTTACCAGTTCCAACCAAGAAGCAACCATGGCTCCAATATGTCTACAAGACTCTATTATGTTTATTTAAGTTGTTTGCTTGATTGACTGTGTTCACTCCTAACTTGTCAAATTCTGTAGTTTGGTCAGTGGCCCTCTGCTCCAAAATATGACACCGTAGGTATCCCTTGCGATGCGCCGCCAGATGTAGCCTAGTGTAAAGAGCAAAACATTTTTTTTTAATTATGTATGTAATTAACTGACCAAGTAGTTTTTGTCCATAATCTTAACCAAATTGCGTCTGTTTCACGTTTACCACACAAGCATTATTTTGAAACTCTTACTGGACATTGTATAATTATCATTGCTAACTTCACCGTAGAGCCCTGCATGTCCAGAAATAAAGGGAAGGGGCTACCTACAAAGTCCAGTTTTGTAGCAGAAAGATGAGAGTGAGAATGTGTTGGTGTACTGCACTTTTTTTTTTACCTGTCCGTATGTTTCTGAAAGATTTAAGGAGAGGAATAGGCAATGCAATAAAAGAGTCTTGGTTCATATTTGATCAGCAGTCTAGTTGGACTGATCTGAGTTTTGTGCGCTGGATGGACTCACTGAGAATGACTTGTTAATCACAAGGTAGCAACGCCCTAACAGCATACTCTGCTTTATCATTTATTTTACTATAAATGGGACCATAATTTACAAAATGAACATCATGCTATACTGAAGAAGACTTGAAACTAGCCATAGAGATAATAAACTCATTAGGAAACTTGAGTTTATTATATATAGTTTACTGAACTAATAAATCAAGTCAGAAATAGGGTAATTTCTCCTTAAAGCCCAGTTCTATTGGATTTCTTTTTTGCAGCCCATGGAGCTGCTTCCTGCTGGCCATTAGAAAGACTGCAGGTTTAAGGCACTTTCGCATTGGCTTCATTTCACAGACCCGGGACCTCTGTCCACTAACTTGCTGTCAATGGTCTGTACTTAGTTTTGATGCATTGCTTTTCCTCCAAACTTGTCATCAACAGTATTAAGCTACTTTACATAAAACAGCTATGACATCATCACTTTTTTTCTTGACCATATAAATTGGTTTTCCTAGGAAATGTATTACATATTGTTATTTTATATATATGGAGTTGTAATAACAGTGTGTATTGCAATGTGAACTGAAAGCACTATGCAGAAATAGAGAATAATTTATCAATCTACAGTGTCATGTATCTGAAAAAAAGAAAATGTGGATCCCTGTTGGGAATCATGTGTAAATACTGTACCTATCCCATGTATAGAATGCCAGGAGAGAGCCGAGGAAATGATTTTAAGTAACTGATTAATCCACTCATTAAGTCAGTAATCACTAATCGTCTTGAAGTTATAGCCTCACCAGTGTATTCGTGTGAAAGGCATATCTATGGTAGATACAGTGTCAGGTATGTGCAATACTATAAAAACTTGCACTCTTCTTTTGTCTACAGTCACCTGTGTACTGTTACCTCAACCATGTCTCCATTAAATGGATGGAAGTAAAACTGCGACTTGTGTTTTTTTGACGGTGAGTCTCCATTGTACAATTGACCTTCTCATTTATCATGCAAAATGAATGTAGTGATATTATGAGAGACATACACTAAACCAATGATAAATAAATAAAGGTTAATTTCGGTTATCAAAGTTTATTAATTATCAAAAGATAATAGAAAATTATTTTAATTAATATTAAAGTTCCTTGGGGCACCACCCTTAAATAAGGGAAACAATAGCCAATAAATGATTGATCAGTCTCATAAAATACACTAAACTATTAAATTATTAATAAAAATTACATGAATAACTATAACCAAAATCAGTATTAATAGTTAAAGTGGAAGGATTTGGAATTCTGCATAGAAGAGGCTGGTATCACACACTCTTATATGAAATTAAATAGGCCAGCATGTATAAACACAAGCATTTATTAAAGGAATAATAAAAGCAAAACAGAGGAAAACACACAATATACAATCTAACTTAAGCGGGAACTAAGCTAAAGGAAAAGGTGTGTGTCTGAGTATGTGTACATAGGGGTTGCGTGCCAGAAAAGGTGTGTGTCCTTTTTTCCTCTGACCAGATGTTTCAGCTGACCAAGAAACACGTGTTGGTTACAAAGAGCATGGAGGAGCGGGAGGGTTTGATTTCCCTCTCCTCATGTGTGTGCTAAGGTTTAGGCCGAATTTAGTTTGTGTGTGTGTGTGTGTGTGTGTGTGTGTGTGTGTGTGTGTGTGTGTGTGTGTGTGTGATCTTAGATTAACAGCACAGTTCAAAGGGAGTTAGTTGCATGCAAAGATGGTGTCTGTGTGAAGCATAACATCACGACATAACCTGAACAAAAAAAAGACATTAGTGCAGTAACATTAACAGTATTTAAACACTCTTTGCTTAGCCTAGTTATCTGAAACTGTCTATGCCCAGTACGTTACCAACAGTCCGTGAAAGGAGTGAGATAGAATAGTTTCTGGGGTGCTGCGTCTATCAGCCGCCTGTAGTAGAAAACGAAGGCTGAGAAGTATGGAGTATGGAAGCCCATTTCTGCCAATATGAAGGGGGAAAAAAACGTAGTGTCTCAAAATAATGACTTACTATCTCAATATTTTGACTTAGTATCTCAATATTTTGACTGTGGCTCAGAGACAGAGCGGGTCGTCCACTAATTGGTTCGATCCCCGGCTCCTCCCGCCACGTGTTGAAGTATCCTTGAGCAAGATATTGAATCCCGAATTGCTCCCGATGCTGTGCATCGGTGTGTGAATGTGTATGAATAGCATTGCTATGGCTTACATAAATTACCAGTTTCTCAGTTACTCTGAGGTTAATGAGAAAATATTGGTTATTGGTGTAAATCTGTTAGGGTGAGATACAATGGGAGTGTATGGTGGCCGCAAACGCGCCGCAAACGGCAAAACGCTGCAAACACGGGAATTATGCAAAACCAAAAAAACACAAACACATATAGCAAATGCAACAGAAAAATGCTGCAAATACCTAAAACACACAAAACCACAAAACAACTGCAAGAGAGAAATGCAGCAAATTCGCTCCACAAAACGGAAGTGCGCCAGGCCACTAGGGGGACCCGACCTGAGAGATGGACCAGTCCTGTGGGACCAGACCCAAAAGACATGGTTTTGCATCATTCCCGTGTTTGAAGCGTTTAGCCGTTTGCGACGCGTTTGCCTTTGTCGGCCACCGTAGGCTCATAATGAGGTGTGTCCTAAGCAGTGATCTTATGACCCATCACATTAAAAGTCCAATTAAATCACACAAAGTGAATGAATATTTAAGTATTAAAGGTTTTTAAGATTTTAGTTTTTCAGGTCTGACATAATGCAATACATAAGAATCCCCATGTTAAAATAACTTTCTTACTGTTTATGTAGGCAAGGGGGGAAGTTGTGAAGGTCAGTGAAGGAGACTGCTGAAGACAATGTTCACACCTCTAGTAGTGCTCCAGATGGAGGATGGGGCCAGGGCTGACAGCACAGCAGCACAGGGACCTTCTAAAGGTTGATCAACCTGTGCTTTAAATCATCCCATCCAACACCTATCATCCCCAAAATACAGGTTTATAATAACAGAACTGCCATTATAAGACAATATTTTACACATTTTTATTTCATGCAAACAAACTCAAGGCTAGTCTACCAGTCTACTCTAAATTTAAAAAAAGTAGCAGCTCTTATTCTCTGGGCCTTTTTATGTATTTTTCACACAAAAACACACACAGTTCCACAAACACAATACATACAAGGAAAATAAATTTCATGTTTTTTTTTTTTTTTTTTTCAGAAATCTGACATATCTGTGATGGTCAAAACAAAAAACATAGTAAAAATGCAGACTCTATCCTTCTGTAATGGCCCACTTACATACTTTTAGTGACATCTAGCAGTATAGTTGCAGATGCAACCACCTGAATACCGCTCCCCTTTCAAGCGTGTAGGAGAAACTATGGTAGCCATCAAACACATGAAAAATGCAAAAGTCCCTTTAGCCAGTGTTTGGTTTGTCTGTTTTGGGCTACTGTAGAAACATGGTGATTAAATATGACTGACTCTGTAGACAAATGAAAACATGCCTATGAAAATATTCCATTCCATTTATGTTACACACTGGACCTTTAAGACAAAATAATAAGAAAACATTACAGTGAATGGGGCCCCTTGTGTTTAATAAGTTTTTACCTACTTTTGTGGAATCGTGTCTTCAGATGTGTGTCCCAGTTCTATAGTATAAGGGCAAAGGATATGAAGATGCCAAAAGGAGAAGTGAATGTGCTGCTCTTTTCCTTTTCCCTATTTAGCCTACCAGCTCAAGGACAGAACAGCAGCCACCTAACCTTTACACCACCACTGCCTGACTGCTTGCATTACTAGGCAACATACTGTATATCCTAACTAAACATTAACAGCAGATAGCAAGTACAAATTATGTGCCTAATGACAGAGATCACATTAAGTGTACAGTATGTAATTTCTGCCGCAAGGGGGTGTCTCACACCAAAACCATAATAGAAGACAAATGATGACTTTGAGAAATAGTTGCTATCAAAGAAGTTAGCTTCTCCTGGTTAATGGTAAATGGTAAATGGACCTGTACTTCTATGGCGCCATTCTAGTCTTCCAACCACTCAAAGTGCCACATTCGCTCTTTCACACACATTCACTCAGTGATGGCAAAGCCCATCGAACAGAAACTAACTCATTCATACACATTCACACACAGATGCACGGCATCGGGAGCAATTCGTGGTTCAGTATCTTGCTCAAGGATACTTCGACATATGGCACCAGGAGCCGGGGATAAAACCAACAGCCTTCCGATTAGGGGACGACCCGCTCTGCCTCTCCACCACAGTTGGTTAGGATTCCTTCAGTGTTCAGTGTTCAGAAAGTTTCCATAATTATTTCTCTGACGCTGTTATGTGGTCAAAGGACGTCCCGGAGGGGCTGCAAGCCTAACTGCTGCTAACGTTAGCTCAGCTTAAATCTGGTAAAAATGTATACATAAAAACAACCAAGATCTAAAAAATGTATGGTAAAAATGTGGCTTGAAACTGGATAAAAAAGTCAATTTACGACAGCTTTTGGTAACACACAACCAGTGAAATGCAGCTTTACCTGAATACAGTTACAAATTTCTCTGAGTTTGAAGTTGTTAGAAACATTTGGGATCATGTAACATATAGTCGGCTAATACCCAGGGGTTTTCATTTCTAACCTCCTCTTCCTCTTAAAAATTCTGGAGAAAGTAGTCGCCAAACAGTTGTGTGACTTTTTGCATGGGAACAGCTTATTTAAGGATTTTCAGTCAGGATTTAGAGTTCATCACAGCACAGAGACAGCACTGGTTAAAGTTAATAACAACATTTTAATTGCTTCCGATAATGGACTCGTCTCTGTACTTGTATTGTTAGATCTTAGTGCTGCATTTGACACCATTGACCATCATATTCTATTACAGAGAGTTGAGCATCTAATTGGCATTAAAGGAACTGCACTCAGCTGGTTTAAGTCCTATTTATCAGATCGTTCTCAGTTTGTACACGTTAATGATGAATCCTCCATAAACACTAAAGTTAGTCATGGAGCTCCACAAGGTTCTGTGCTAGGACCAATTCTAGCCACTTAGGAATCACTCCATTAACTTTTACTGTTATGCAGATGATACCCAGTCATATCTATCGGTAAAACCGAATGAAATTAATCAGTTATTGAAATTGCAAGCATGTCTTAAGGACATAAAAACCTAGATGAGCTGAAATTTTTTGATGCATAACTCAGAAAAAACTGAAGTTCTTGTACTTGGCCCCTAGCACCTCCGAGACTCACTCTCTAAAGATATAGTTAGTCTAGATGGTATTACCTTGGCCTCCAGCACCACTGTCAGGAATCTTGGCGTTATCTTCGATCAGGATATGTCCTTTAATTCTCACATAAAGATGCGCTGATTAAGACAGTCAAAATTCAGAATAGAAATTAAAATCCTCCTCCTCACCTACAAAGCTCTTTATGGCCAGGCCCCTTCATATCTTAAAGAGCTCATAGTACCCTATTACCCCACAAGAACACTGCGCTCTCTGAACGCAGGGCTACTTGTGGTTCCTATAATCTCAAAAAGTAGAACAGGAGCCAGAGCCTTCAGTTACCAAGCTCCTCTCCTGTGGAACCAGCTTCCAGTTTTGGTTCAGGAGGCAGACACCCTCTCCACATTTAAGAGTAGGCTTAAGACATTCCTCTTTGATAAAGCTTATAGTTAGGGCTGGCTCAGGTGAGTCCTGAACCATCCCTTAGTTATGCTGCTATAGGCCTAGACTATCGGGGGATTTCCCATGATGCACTGAGCTCCTCTTTTCCTCTCTCTCTCTTTCTGCACTCATACATGCCCCATTAATGCATGTTACTAACTTCACTTCTTCCCCGGAGTTCTTGTGCTTTCTTGTCTCGCTGGTTGGAGACAAGAAAGGAGACAAGTTGGATCCTGGTGGTGACTCCTG